ATGAAGTACATCTTCAATGGATATGAAAGTTAGTGTATCAACTTTGCCAATGCCAATAATTCTTCTTTTAAGGTATTTTCCATATGTGAAATAATCCTTGGACTTGAACTAGATTTGAAATTTAGTGTATGTCTCCCGCCATATGCTTTGAACAACCACTATCAAGATACCAAAGATTGCATGTGGTCTTCAAACATACCTACAAAACAAATTAAGTTTGATTTGGTACCCAATGTGCTTTTGGTCCATCATAGTTAGTTCCCTTCTTAACCCACACATAAAGTCCACTTGCTACACTAAAGTTTCTAACATAGCAAGCATTAGGTGTATGACCAACAATACCACAATAAAAATAAGTAGGTTCAAAGTTACTTCTATATCTAGAAGGGTAAGATTTCTTCTTAACAAATATTTTCTTTTTAGGATATTGATGAACTACTTTAGGTTTGTTCACTTTCTCTTTGGATGATTGATCACTAACTTTAACAAAGATAGTTTTATTAGAACTTGGTTTTGAAAAATTTGAATATCCAAGTCCACTTTTATCATTGGAATATCTTTGTTGGTTAAGAACACCTTCCAATCCAATTTGACCTTTTTAATATCTTTCAATAACTATTTTTAATTGGACAATTTGGAAAGAGAGTGAATCACAATTTTTGCATACAAAATTCTGTTTTTACTCACTAAATTTTTGTTTTTCATCTTTGAGGTCCTTTTCCATAGACTCACATTTTTCTTCTAAAGATGATATTTGTTTCTTTTGAGATGAAATAGTTTTGTACAACATTTTGCATTCATTTAATAGTTCATCTATAGCACCTTGTGCATCACTATAAAAAAGAGATAATTCATTACTAACCTCGTCATTTTCACTATCGGAATGGTGTGAGGCCATCAATGCAAGATTAACACGTTGATTGTTTTCAGAATCGGAAGATGAACTTTCCCATGCTATATATGCTTTCTTTGACTTCTTATATTTATTTCTCTTGAAATATTTCTTCTTCTTTTCAAGTGTAGGACATTCACTTTTAACATGTTCCTTTTCTCCACATTCAAAGCATATAACCTTCCTTGTTGGTGCTTCCCTTTTTCTTTCTTTTCGTAGAACCTTTTCAATCTTCCTGATGAGATCATCATCTTCACCACTAGTGGATTCATCCTCTTGATTACTATCATGATTTTTTATCCTTGTATTTAAAGCAATGTATTTTGAATCTTTTACTTGGATTTCATGCTTTTCAAGTCTTGCAAGTTCCGTCTTATATTCTTGAAGTTTTCTGAACAAAGTGGCGGAAGTCATTGTGGATAGATTCTTCTTCTCGGATATTGCTGTTACTTTTGGTTGTCATTCCCTGGATAAAGATCTAAGCACTTTAAGATTAAGTTTATCATTAGTTAAAGTCTTACCGAGTGCTTTTAAATGATTTGTCAAGTGCACAAATCTTTTCTGCAAGTCGAGGATTGATTCTCGGGGCTGCATTCTGAATAGTTCATATTCTTGACTCAATGTATTTAATCTCGATCTTTTAACTTCAACGGTTCCTTCATGAGTTTATACCAAGGTATCCCATATTTCTTTCGCTGTTTTGCATGCCGAGACACAGAAGAATTCATCCATGCTAAGTGCATCTTGAAGAAGATTTATTGCCTTTTTATCATAAAGAACCTTCTTCTTATCATCTTCGTCCCATGCAGCTTTAGGCTTTGATGAGCCATCACCATTGATTACCGTTATAGGGATGAAATGACCATTATCGACGGCATCCCATATTTATTCTCCTTGTGCTTCTAGATGTGCCTTCATGCGTATTTCCAGAAGTCAAAATATTCACCACAAAATAGAGGAGGCTTGTTGTTACTACCACCATCTTTAAAAACGAGATTTTGATTTACGGAAGCCATTCTGGATCTTTTAGGAGCAGGTTAATTATAACCTGCTCTGATACCAATTGTAAGTATAAGAGTGTGCCTAAGAGGGGGGGGGGGGGGGGTGAATTATGTACTTTAAGAGTTTTACCATTTTAGTGATGATATATATTATTTTTCTGGTTTAGTGCATGAGTTTACAAATGTGTTTCTTTCTTTTCTGGTTTATGACTAGTGATGAAAGCGGTAAATGCGGAAAAATAAGAACACAAAGATGTATCCTGGTTCCCCTCACAGTCCGAGAGTACTCCAGTTCCCTTTCAACATGAAAGAGATTTCCTTATTGTTAGATCTCTAGACAAGACACCCTAGTCCTTCTATACAAGACTCTAACCAATAAAACCACCAAGAACAATCCTCTTGGATTTTCACTATGTCAACAATGAGAACAATCCTCTAAAGGTGACCTTACTTGTATCCAACAATTATGGAAAAACAAGATTTCAAAATCACTTGAACTTATTTCCAACAATCCTGAAAAATAAGCAAGTATATACCAATATTTGATTTGAGTGAGTTTGAGTAGCAATGATCACTTTGAGTGATTTAATTAATGAATTGATCTTCTCTTCCAATGATAATAATATACAATGACTCAAGATATATAATGCTCAAATTTTTCTGGTTAACAATATGTGAAAGTATGCAGAAAACTTGTGTATGAAAATGTATAACAACTTGAGTTTATTTTTTAAAAATTCAGAAAATATAATTGAAAGAGGTGTTGAAATGATTTTGAAAATGAGTATTTATAAGTTCATATCACCTTTTTGAAACAACATAAAGTTCTGGAGATGAATCATGAACAATTACCAAGATTGAGTGAAAGGTTTCCATTAAATGGTGTTATGAACGGGCATGTGCAAAGATGCTGTTTTTCAAAATTGTGCAGCATGCAATCGATTGCACCCTTTGTGTAAATCGATTGCATGGGGTTTCAACAGCTAGAATTTCAAATATTTTGAGTGTGCAATCGATTGCACAAGAGTGTAAATCGATTTCATGTGAAGTCGGTAGCAAAAATTGATTGAGTGCAATCGATTGCATAAACATGAAAATCGATTACACTTAGAAACGGTAGCAAAAGATTTGAAAAATTGAAGCATGCAATCGATTGCACTCAAGTAAAAAATTATTTTTAGCTTAGAAAAACTTGAGTAAAGATTTGGATAATATAAAATATTTCTTTTGACCATTGAGCATCTATGTCTTAAGTTCAAAGTAAGTATTATCATTATACCTTGAAATTTGCTAAGAGCTTGAACTAAAGACTTTATCCACAGATGCTTTTAGCTTGATCAATAATCTTTTCCTTCTTTGTCAATCATGATTTGTCTTCATCAAAACAAAAGTGCATTTGAGAAGCTTGATTTTACACCACTTGGCAAGAAGTTTAAACCCGACAGGTTTCCCTCAAGCGATTTCAAGATTTGAACCGAGGTGTAAGGCCTTCGAAGGGGAGGAATCCAATTAAGGTTCATCACCGAGGATGTTACACCTGAGACGGTTCAAGATATGAACCGAGGTGTAGAGCCTTAGAGAATGTCCTCAGACAGATCTGGACGGAATCCAATTAATGTTCTTCATCGATGAGGGTTCCATCTGAGATGGTCCCGGAGGGAACCGAGGTGTAGTGCCTGAAAATATTTTTCTGCACGGGAGTACCACGAGGAGAGTGACTGCTAGGCAGGGAGTTTCAACCCGGAAGGTTACCCTTAATTGGTTCAAGATTAGAACCGAGGTGTAGAGCCTTAGAGAATGCCCTCAGGAAGACCACGACGAAATCCAATTAACGTTCTTCATCGATGGAGTTACACTTGAGATGGTCCCGGAGAGAACCGAGGTGTAGAGCCCGAAAATATTTTTCTGCACGTGAGTACCACGAGGGGAGTGACCACTAGGCAGGGAATTTCAACCCGAAAGGTTACCCTCGAGTGATTCAAGATAAGAACCAAGGTGTAGAGCCTTAGAGAATACCCTCAAGCAGCACGAAATCCAATTAAGGTTCTTCGTCGATGGGGGTTGCACCTGAGTAGGATCAAGGTATGATCCAAGGTGCAAAGCCCATAGAGGTTTTTGTGCCAGAGGCTTCATGTGTGCTTGGACTTCAGTTTTGTTTTAGAGCCCCTAGCAAGGTTGACCTAAAGGCTTAGGCCATGTGTTTATACTTGCACTACCCGACCATAACCGATTACATATTCTTTTTAGGGTTAATACCTATTTTCACCCCTGACATATGGGGTGTATTTGAAAAACCCCCCTGCCAAAAAAAAAGTTCCAATAGTTACCTTGACAAATTTTAAAAGTTTCAATTTTTACCTTGAGGCTCCCACATCACCTAAAAGGCTGATGTGGCTTATTTTTTTGTTACAGGTGTAAGTTTTTTTTTTGCCATGTCACACAAGACCAAGTAAAATGTCCAGAATGCCCTTTCTACATTTTTCTTAAAATCCCAAATAATTTGGCAAATGCTATGTTTCAATTCAGACCCTCCACCTCCAAATTAGGGCGCATTATCTTCATCTCAGCAACCCAACTTTTGCTTTCCTCTTTCCTCTTCATCTTTAAGTTTTCTTTGATTTCATAAACATGAGTCAACCAAATTGTTCTACTTCATGCTTATCTTCAAATGGTAGACTAACTCCCAAATGCGGCCACAATGTCTCCATGAAGTTATTTGTTTCAAAATCGGTTGCAAATCCCGGGAGAAAATACTGGAAGTGTAAGTTCTGGGGTAAAGGAGATGACTGCAACGCATTTGTTTGGGATGATGAATGTTCTGATGATTTCGGTGATAACGGCCATTCAGATGTAGTTTCAGTAGAACTGATGAGCAAACTGGAGAGAGACATCGCACTGAAGATGGAAGCCATGGAGAAAAAAATGGATGAGTTACAAAAGAAGTTGAATTATGTTTTAGTTGGGTTTATTTGTCTTTTGGTTCATTTCTTACTTAGTTCATGTAAAAATTCATGAAGCTGTGGCTTATGCTCTAGGAAGTTGTAACCTAAGTAAAATTTAGTTCATGAATTATATTTCTTTGTTATGGAATATGGAATATATTACTCTCATGAGTTTTGGTTATCTGTTCTGATATTTTGGAAATCTGTTCTTAAGCAATTCTGTTTTGGAATATTTTGGAAATCTGTTCTGATATTTTGGAAATCTGTTCTTATTGGACTAACATTGTTTTCATAACATGCCCTGTAAGCTTCTCTCATGTAACAAGGGTCAACATATTTCTCAGGATCTAAGTTTTGATACTGTAGTGCAGAAACAACATGCCTACATGGTATGCCCACAAGATCCCAAAAACAACAAGTACAGGTTTTTTTCCCAATATCAACAACAAACTGCAATCCATTATATGGGTGATGGACTTGCCACAAATCACCACTGCTCCATGTAGGCAGCCATTCTCCACTAAGATATGTTTCCTTATCAAGCCTTTTCCTAGGATTAGGCATGACATTGTGCTTCCACTTATCAAGCTTAACAACACTATTAGCAATCCTATTCATCATGTTGTTCCTAATCCATTCTACCATAGTGAGTATTGGCTTATCCCTAGCTTGTAATATTGTACTATTGAAAGATTCACTCAAGTTATTCATCAAAACATCACACTTAGGGTAAAATGAAAATGAATGCTTACACCATAGTTTTGTTGGCACTCCCATCAGCCATTCCCATGCCTTCTTATCAATTTGTTTAAGCTGATTCATCTTCTTTTCCCAAGCCTGGAAGTAAGTAGCCTTTGCAGCCCCCAATAACAGGTCTCTAATGGCAACTCCCCCTCCAAATTTCTTCTTGAAATTTGCATACAGGTGTCTGAGGCAGACCCTGTATTCAACTTGCTGATGCATTTCCTCAAAGCCACTAACAAGTCCCTAAAAACAGCAAGACCACAGAAAAAAGCATGTACATTAGCAACTTATATATTCCTCATAAATGTTGAACATTAGCAACAGAACAAGGCATGTAACATTAGCAGCAGGTTCTCATAAATGTTGAACATTAGCACCAGAAATACTTCAGTACCAGAAATTAGTGCATATTTGTGCATGTTTCATAAATGTGAATAACTAAGGTAATTAGTGCATATTTGTACCTTTTGTTGGTCTGAAATAAAAACATACTTTCTCTCTTCTCCAATGTCTTCCATTAGAAATTGCATAAACCATCTCCAGCTTTCTTTTGTCTTAGTCTCCACCACACCAAATGCCAAAGGATAATATTGGTCATTCGGGTCCCTTGCTACAACAATTAACAATTGACCTCCATATTGTGTCTTAAGATGACACCCATCTACCCCTATAAATGGTCTACAACCCTTGGTAAACCCTTTCTTGCATCCATCAAAACAGAAGTAAAATCTACCAAATCTTAGTGGTAGTGTTGGATGTGGTCTCTCAGTATTTAGTTTGACAGTGTTCCCAGCACAATGTTTTCTCAACTCAGCTGCATATCTCCATAACATGTTATACTGCTCCTTTGCATCACCTTCAATTATTTCTTCAGCCATAGCTTTGGCTCTCCAAGCTTTCCCTTTGGTAATGCCCACTGAATATTTCTGTCTAAGCTCAGACATAATTTCAGACAATTTAACTTTCCCTTGTGACTTCCTCTTTTCAACCACTAACTTAGAGACCCACTTGGAATTGGCAGACTTGTTATTTAATACCCTTGCACATGTGTGGGTCCCCACCCAAGTCTTTAGCTGGTAAGCGAGGCTACCTCCCACTTTGCTACACAATGCCAAAAACCCACATTTACTCTTACACTCAACCCTAACCCTATAGCTCTCATTCTTAACAAACGTTATTTCTCTACCATTTAATACTGACCAATCCCTGATAGCATCTTTAAATTCAGAAAGAGAAATGAACTCCATACCTAATTTGAATTGAAAGTCTTTGTTAAGCAACTCTGATCTGAACTTCTCATACTTTGGCTTGGAAGGTTTGTCATCCATGTCACTTTCATCAGCATCTGAACTTTCAAGTTCCTCACTAGCATAATCCACATCTTCACATATCCTTGTAGCCCTCTTTGAACAAGATCCTAAGACACTTTTGGGCACCAAAACACTGACCTTGTCCCTTTTGCTCTTTTCTTTCATCTTTTTGGGATCCTTGGATGCACAACGCTTGAATCTAAATGATTTCCCTTCGATCTCCACCCTATTCCCACTAACTGGAACAGCTACCTCCACTCGTTCAAATTGCTCTTCTTCTACTTCAATTACTCTTTCCTCTTCACTGTCATTGAAACATTGGCTTGCATCAACATAGTTACCAGAACTATCATCTCCACTAGAGGTGCTGAAGTCATCAACATTAGGTACCAGAACCTTGGTCATCATGTCTTCTACACCGTGCTCTACCCAAAGATCGCCGTGAACTCTACAAGACATACAATGCTTAGCAACTTCTACAGCTCCTGCATCATCAACAACATTTGTAAACCCTTCATCCGTTTGCAGAATCTTTCTCCATAGCCTAAAACCTTCATAACCCCAATCTTTAACCAGACTAACAGCTTCAAAAAAGCTCCATTTATCTTCGTCCTGACATTCAACAGTAGTCTCACTACCTCCTCTATAATACGTATGGCCGTCTTGCACGAAACTTCCCCCATGATGAAACACTAAATTAAACACACCCATTTGCAAGGATGAAGAACCCTAATCGCAGGGTCTGAATTGAAACTGGCTTTTTTTGTAAGATGAAGATGAAGATGCTGCGCCCTAATTTTGCCAAATAATTTGGGATTTTAAGAAAAGGGCATTCTAGACATTTTACTTGGTCTTGTGTGACATGGCAAAAAAAAAACTTACATCTGTAACAAAAAAATAAGCCACATCAGCCTTTTAGGTGATGTGGGAGCCTCAAGGTAAAAATTGAAACTTTTAAAATTTGTCAAGGTAACTATTGGAACTTTTTTTTTGGCAGGGGGATTTTTCAAATACACCCCATATGTCAGGGGTGAAAATAGGTATTAACCTTTCTTTTTACATATTTGTTGTAAATCTCACCTGTCTTTCGGACTAAGAAGAATATAGTGTCTCCTGCCCGCGCATGGGAGAAAGACGATACCCGTTGCTTTCTAAGTGATTCTTTAAATAATTATCATCGGTGGAGATCGTGTCGTGCCTTTCAATGAACAAGATTATAGACACTGGGCTTTGTTCTCGACCCTGGTTTTCGTCGTCCTCTGACTTCCATTCAAATTTAGTCAATTTGTCTAGTCGATTGATCTATCCTCTTAGATGTCCGACTTGTTTTCTTCATGTGATATTTTGACTTCTTCGATAGAAGGTATCTTTGTCGTTCTTTACAAGTTTGGAGCGATAGAAAGTGTCTCCCGCCCATGCAGGGGAAAAGGACGACACTCTTTACTTAATTTAACAAATCTAAATGAGTTTAGTTTACAAACAATAGAGACAATAGCTCGCCTTATACAAAAATACTAGCTAGTTTAAAGTATAAATATGTGTTTTGCTAGAACCTACTAGTTTATAGCCGGACCACTTATGCATCACTGGGATGTCGATATAATCCCCCAAGCGTGAGGCTTTGTTGAAATAAGATAAAACGCTTTAATCTAAAGCCATCTTAGCTAAGGAGGATTCCGCTTCTCGGTGCTTGTCGGAAATATCACCTGATAGATTGGTATTTCGATACTCGTAAGGCAGTTTGTCACATTTCGTCATTTCATGGGCGACTACATTATCAACTTTGTCCATTAGATACATTAACGAGCCCGCTCATTCACTTTATCACGATAAATAATATCAAATTTGAATTAATATGACATATGTTACCTATCAGGTATCATATAAGTACATATATTTACTAAATACAAGTAATGAAAACTCTTCATAATTTTGGCATCAGGAAGTCAACTATCAGTGGGTTTGATCATGAAACATAGCTCCTTAACTCAACTTCGTCATAGACGTTTTGGAAACGTTTCCAGAGTATAGTTCCTGTATTTGAACTATTTAAACATCAATAATTTAGATTGTTTTCAGGATATCCCCGAATCAACATCAATAATGACAAAGTTTAAACCATTTCAAACTCATCTTGTCAATAATTTAGATCGGACAGCACATGGATATACCAATTCCGGTTCATACCGTCTATCCAATATAATGGAGACTTCATCTAATCGAACAACCGTTAATTGCATTTAGACGGTAAGATATTAAGTTTACTTATATTTTGAAGTATGCCTTGCTTTTGTGCGGCATCGGTGTTGATAACGTGTTACTAATCTTTTGAATGAATTTCAGAGCTAGCCCTCAATTTCTCCTTTTGTTTGAGATGTAGAACTACCAGCCATGTGATATATTACATGCTCTTTGTTAGCACAGCGTCCATGGTACAGCCGGGGTATGCTAAGACAGTAACATATCTTGTTTACTGCTACAGGGAGAATTGTTACCAAATGATATTTCAGCCAGAGATTTATCATTGGAATATTGGCTCGAAACCGTGTTGGCTTGCCTATCGAAATTGATTAGCTACTAAGAAACTGCAATATATGGTTAATTCAATATTTCAACACCAGCTGTGGTGAAAATTAGAGAAATGTGTAAGATACAGACTAGCCAAAATAAAGACATGTCACTTATCTTTTATTGGCGGTCATATCCATGGCAGCCTTTGATCTTTCCGGTGGTATGAGTTCGTGTGGGATTTTGGATCGAACTCTAGCATGATCGAAGTACATGCTGTAGTCGAAGAAGGGTCTAGCATGTATTTGTCGAAGAATGCTTGTTAAATTAGGTTTTAGTGTTTAAACCCTAATTTGTTAAGTTAGCTTGATTATTAAGTTAGCTTGTATAATGGGCCTTGTGGAAAAAGCCCATTAGTTAGTATGTTAGGTTTTATTATAAATAGCATACTAGTCTCTCATCATTGCAACACAGCAAATCCTAAAAAGGGTGAGAGGGTTATTTGTTATTCTTGTAAACTTGTAATCTTGTTTCCAAAGAGAAAGAAAAGAATAGCAGTTATAACCAAATTCTTGTGTTCTTCTTCTTCCTTGTTTGTTATTCCTCCCTTATTCTATACCTTGTTATTGGCATTGAATTCACAACAAATTGGTGCGGTGAGCGTGGAGAAGATGCCTTCAACAAAGTATGAGATTGAAAAGTTCACCGGAATGAATGATTTCGGTCTATGGCGCTTAAAGATGAAAGCCCTACTGGTTCAGCAGGGTTGTTTGGAAGCGTTGAAGGGAGCGACGGCGATGGACGCTGCGTTAACAGAAAGAGAGAAGACGGCCATGATCGAGAAAGCACACAGCGCAATTTTGTTGAGCCTTGGTGATAAGGTTCTTCGACAGGTATCAAAGGAGACGACGACATCAGGGTTATGGGTGAAACTTGAAAGTTTGTATATGACCAAATCTCTGGTAAATCGACTCTACCTAAAGCAAGCTTTGTATTCATTCAAGATGATTGAAGACAAAGTGTTGGCTGAGCAGTTGGATATGTTCAACAAGCTGATTCTTGATCTTGAAAATATTGATGTAAAGATTGATGATGAAGATCAAGCGCTGTTATTGTTGTGCGCTTTGCCCAGATCACATGCTCACTTCAAAGAAACCCTCTTGTATGGAAGAGAGTCCCTGACCTTTGAAGAAGTTCAATCAGCTTTGTACTCTAAGGACTTGAACGAACGTAAGGAGCATAAACCTTCAACGGTTGGTGAAGGTTTGGCTGTTAAAGGAAAATTCGACAAGAGGAAAGGTAAAAATCAGTCGAAGTCTTATAGTGGTGATGCATCTGGTATTAGATGCTATCACTGTAAGAAAGTAGGTCACACAAGAAAGGTGTGTCCTGAACGCCTGAAAGACCATGGAGGTAAGGATAATGGCAACACAGCTATTGTCCAAGATGATTTCGAATCATCTGATGTTCTTGTGGTTTCAAGCAACAACTCGTCGAAGGAGTGGATTATGGATTCTGGATGCACTTGGCACATGACTCCAAACAAAGACTTGTTCGAGGAATTATGTGATCAAGATGGTGGATCTGTATTGCTGGGAAATAACAAAGCTTGCAAGATTGCAGGCGTTGGATCTGTGAGATTCAAGCTCCATGATGAGTCAATAAGATTGTTGACTGAAGTCAGGTATGTACCTGATTTGAAGATAAATTTGATTTCCCTTGGTGAATTCGACAAGAAAGGATATGTTTTTCAAGGAGAGAAAAGTATCCTGAGAGTCATGAAAGGGTCGAAGGAAGTCTTGAGAGGCGTGAAGAAACAAGGCTTGTATACCCTTGAGGCTGAAGTTGTAAGTGGTTCGACAAATGTTGCATCCACAAAACCTTTGTCGAAAACAGAAATTTGGCACATGAGATTGGGCCATGTCAGTGAAAGGGGTCTGGTTGAATTAGGGAAACAAAATCTGCTTGGTGGAGATAAAGTCGAAAAGCTGAAGTTTTGTGAACCTTATGTACTTGGAAAGTCCTGTAGAATGAAGTTCAACAAAGGCAAACAAAGAACACATGGATCCCTTGATTACATCCATGCTGATCTTTGGGGGCCTGCAAGGTGTCCATCACATTCAGGAGCAAAGTATTTTCTATCCATAGTAGATGACTATTCCAGAAAGTTATGGGTATTCATCCAGAAGACTAAGGATGAAACTTTTGAGAATTTCAAAAGTTGGAAGACTCTTGTCGAAAACCAAACTGGCAGAAAGGTAAAGAGGTTGAGAACCGACAATGGCCTTGAGTTTTGCAATGAGGCATTCGACAGTTTTTGTGTTGCCTCTGGTATTGCAAGGCACAGAACTACCGCAGGTACTCCACAACAAAATGGTTTGGCTGAAAGGTTTAATCGAACTATTTTGGAGAGAGTTAGATGCATGTTGACTAGTGCGGGATTAAAGAAGGTGTTTTGGGCTGAGGCTGTTTCGACAGCAGCATATCTGATAAACAGATGTCCTTCGACAGCGTTAGATATGAAGACACCTGAAGAAGTTTAGTCGGGACATCCACCAGATCTCGACAAACTAAGAGTATTTGGCTGTGTAGCCTATGCTCACATTAGGCAAGACAAGGTCGAACCTAGAGCTCTGAAATGCATGTTTATGGGATACCCTGAAGGAGTGAAAGCTTATAGGCTATGGTGCCTAGAGCCAGGTCACAGGAGGTGTATCACCAGTCGAGATGTAGTTTTCAATGAAACTGAAATGGCTTTCAAGAAAACTGATGATGTTGACGAAGAGCTGGAACAGGTAGAGATTCCTGTTGAGGTGGAGCATGCTGATGCTGAAATGCGTATCCCAGATGAAGTCGAAGAAGAAACTGAAGATTCTGATGATGTTGAGGAAACTGTTGATGACTACCTATTGTCGAGAGATAGGCAAAGAAGAGTCATAAAACCACCTCAGAGACTTGGATATGCAGACCTTGTAGCTTATGCCTTAATCTCTGCAAGTGAAGTTCTAGACGAAGAACCTAGAGATTATAAGGAAGTTATAAGGAGTCGAATGAAGACTGAATGGCTAAAGGCCATGGATGATGAGATGAAATCTCTTCATGATAATCACACTTGGGAACTAATCAAGAAACCTGTTGGGGCAAGGTTAGTCAGCTGTAAGTGGATTTTCAAAGTTAAGGAAGGAATTGAAGGAGTAATGTCG